ATCGATCCTCGAGCGGGGCGGGGAGGGGCGCGGGGCGCGGGGCGCGGGGCGCGGGGCGCGGGGCGCAGGGCGAAGCGCCGCGGCGAGGCGGCGAGGCGCTGGACAGAAAAAGTGTTTCTCGGGCGCAGCTTCCCCGGATCTCCGACGATCTGATTCGTCCCATCTGGGTTGTTTTTCCTCGATCTCGGCCTCCGGGGTCCGTTGCCGGGCCCCAGGGCCATCGTGAACGTATCTGGGGCGAAAAACTCACCCGATGGAAGGGGTCGGGACATCTGGGGTCGAGGATTGAACAACAAAAAAGAATCGGCGGATGTCAGGGTTCTGGAGGAGGCGGGGGAGAGAGGCCGAGGGGGCGATCTCGGCGACCACGGAGGGTGACGAGCGCGCCCGCTGCCCGCCGAGTGGGCGCGCGCTGGACCGCCGAGTAGGCATCGTGAGCACCCAGGGCAGACGCTGAACGCGGCCTCCCAGGAGTGGTAATCCCCCCCTGGGCGCGAAGAACCGAGTGGCGTTTCTGGAAAATCTGACAATTCGCCTTAGCTTCGGGAGGCCTCCTCCCCTCGCCCCGCCCACCCACCCCGCCCGCTACCCCCCGCTCGTCGGGCGTTGCCAAAAGTGCCCCGGGCCCAGGGCGCCCCCGGGACTTCCGGGGCGGGCCCAGATGGCCCCTGGAGCACCCCTCGCCAGCTCCAGAGGGTCCCAGGGGCTCCAGAATGGTGCGAAGAGCAGGGCACACCCTGGGCCAGGACCACTTCTACCAACACTCGAGAGGGTCGCGTCGGCCCTGCGCGCTCGACCGCGGGCGCAGGACCTCGGAAGACGGGCCGAGGGGGGCGCCGCGCCCGCGCCCAGGAAACGCACCTGCTGGCTCCGATCGGGCCGTGGGGCAGCCTCTTCCTGCCCGTCCCGACTCACGGCTCAGCACCCGAACTCGCTCCCTCCCCACCCTCTCCGAGGGCGGGGAGCGGAGACGAGGGCGAGGGGCACGCCCCGAGTGCCGAGGAACGCTGGGCGGGCGGGGGGGCATCCTCTGGAAAGGAGCCCCGGGTGGCACGGGACCGCCGACGGTGCGGGCCCTACGCCGAGAGACAGGGCGGGACGAGGGGAAGGACGAGGGACGGCGAAGGGGAAGGACGAGGAGGATGAAGGGCAAAGGACGAGGACGAGGACCAAGCCGACGAGGCGCTGAGGCCCGGGCGTGCTCGAGGACCGCCACCCCGACCGCGAGAGCCGCGAGCTGGTCCCAGAAGCTGACGTCCCCGACGTTCACCTCGCGCGCCGGGGTCGCGCGGCTCTGCCGGAGGGCTCTGCGAAGGGAGGGGGGCGAAGAAGAGAACGGGGGCGCGAGGGGGGCACAAGAGTGCGACGAGGTGGAGGTGGAAGGAGGAAGGGAAGGAGGGGAGGAGGGGGGGAGGGAAGGAAGAAGGTGGAGGGAGGGAGGGAGGGAGGGAGGGAGGGAGGGTGGGAGGGAGAGAGGAGGAGGAGGAGGAGGAGGACGAGGACGAGGACGAGGAGGAGGAGAAAGAGGAAGAGGCGACGGAGAAGGAGGAGGAGGAGGACTAGTGCAAACCCAAGACCACCAACAATGTTGCGATAAACTCTCCCTCTAAGTTCTTTTGTTATCCGTCCCTACAAAAATTATGCTCATTGCAGGAACTGGCCCATTGAAGGCAAACGCCAGATGAACTCAAGAACAAAAAGGACTTCACTCCCCCAGTCCCCAAACAGTTCAGATGCCTCGCCAAGGATTTTCGGAAAAACCTAAAGATAAAGAAAAAGAAAAACTTGAACAACAGTTCGACATGTTATGAATTAGATCCTGCTCGGGCACCCTGCAGCACCCGCACGTTTTATCCTGGATCGCGCCTAGACACGATTCCTGGGACTTCAACGACGCGAACCGACATAAGTTCTGCGTCCTGACAATAATGAGCCGTGCCAAAAATGCCGCCCGTGGGACTTCAGCATCGCGAGTGCACGTGACTGTTGCGTCCTGACAATCCGGAATCGCACCAAAACGACATTCCAGGGACCTCATCCCTACGACTTTTTGAAACTGTTGCTGACGTGTACGACACATGTGCGCGGCACAAATCGATAGACACAGTGCACAGAAGAAACGGACTCCATCCATGAAACTGCTGCAAGCCTTTTGAAACGAAAACACGCGGCGTTCAAGCAAGAACTCCATTTAAAAACGGCCCGCCCTTTAATCCCTGAAACGAATGCAAATTTTGAAAACAACCATGCGCGGCGCGAAAGCGGGAGTTCCATGTTTAAAACGGCCCGCCCTCCATCCTTGAAAGTGTGCATAATTTGAAGACGAACGCGCACGGCGTTAAGGCTGCAAGGCGAATGCGCACGGCGCTATGGCGCTATGGCGAGAGCCCCATGTTGGAAACGGACGGCCATCCATCCTTGACTATATTGCAGGTAGCGCGCTTCAAGACCACCAACAGTGAGGATGTCCCACGGGAAACGCCTGACCCGCCCTACTGGCACGCCTTGAAATGCGGCACGGAGAGGTGATTCCCAACCCTCCTGCATTGGGTACTCGCTTTGGATGGAGCAGTGCGGTCTCCACCTCCTCCTCTTCCTTTTCGCCTCCTGTTTCCTCTCTTGTTGTTTACCTCGTTCCCTTTCTGCGTGCCAGCTTGTCCCTGCCTCGCCATTCCTGAAGGGGCTGCGACCTGCGACATCGTCGCCATTTTCGAGGGTTGCTGGAAGGTCCAGCGGAGTGACGTCCGACGCGGACCACCAGGAGACCCCGCTATCCCTGGGGGGGCGATCTGCGAAACTGCCGCCACGTTCGAGCGTTGCTGGGGGTCCAGCGGAACGACGTCCTCCACATGAGACCTCGCCATCCCTGGGGGGCTGCGATATGCGAGACCGTGGCCATTTCCGAAGGTTTGGGGGGGTCCAACGGAACGATGTCCTACGCGGACCACCACGAGACCTCGCCATCCTGGAGGGGTTCCGATATGCGAAACTGTCGCCTCGTTCGAAGGCTGCTGGGGGGTCCCAACGGAGCGACGTCCTACGCGGACCACCAGGAGACCTCGCCATCCCCGGGGGGGTGCGATCTGCGAAACAGTCGCCACTTTAAAGGGCAGCTGGGGGGTCCAGCAGAGCGACGTCCCGCGCGGACCACCAGGAAACCCCGCCATCCCTGGAAGGGGTGCGATCTGAGAAACTGTCGTTATTTTCAGGAGCTGCTGGGATGGTCCAGCGGACTGACGTCCTACGTGGACCACCAGGAGACCCCGCCATCCCTGGGGGGGGCTGCGATCTGCGGAACTGTCGCCGTTTTCGAAGGCTGCTGGGCGGTCCAGCGGACTGACGTCCTACGCGAACCTCCAGGAGACCTCACCATCCTTGGGGGGCTGCGATCCGCGAAACTGTCGCCACTTTCGAGCGTTGCTGGGGGTCCAGCGGAACGACGTCCCACGCGGACCACCAGGAGACCTCGCCATCCCTGGGGGGCTGCGAGCTGCGAGACTGTCGCCACTTTCAGGAGCTCCTGAGAGGGCCAGCGGAGCGACGTCCGACCCTGATTCAAATGAGGCCTCGCCATCCCTGAAGGGGCTGCGATCTGCGACGCTGTCGCCACTTTAGAAGGCTGCGGGGGGTCCCAACGGAGCGACGTCTTACGCGCACCACCAGGCGACCTCGCCATCCCTGGGGGGGTGCGATCTGCGAAACGGCCGCCACTTTAAAGGGCTGCTGGGGGGTCCACCGGAGTGATGTCTTACGCGGACCACCAGGAGACCTCTGGCTGCATCTCCACGTGATGCTGTCCAGCGCAACGCCCGTGAACAGCCTCCTGATGATACGCGACCCCCGCCTGGATTACCTAGCCCGCGGGCCGCCCGCAAACCTGGCGGCGCGCCTTCGAGCGTTTGGCTCCCGCACTGAAAAGCGCAGGAAGGAAATAGAGAAGCTGGCGGGCGAGCTAGGCCTCGCTCGCTTCTTACACTGACTACAAGCAGGTTCATTCATTTGTTCGAGCGACGCGGCGACGTGGCACAGGCAGCGCTGCATCTTTAGCGTGCTACCGACACAAGCAACACTCATCGGCTTCCTCCCGTCACTTTCGTCGTCGTCGTCGTCGTCTGCCCCCTGCCACCCTCCCTCTGCCGCCGCCGCGATAATGGTTCGGCCCCCAATGCGTTTTTCTCGTGCCTTTCTTCCCGCCCCCATAGCCTCCTCAAGCCTGGCCCCTCGCTCCTGTTTTCTGTTTCCCATTATAAATGATTAAAGTCCGCGCGAAGGGGGAAGCCGAAAAGGACCCGGCCACCTTCCCCGAATCGGGTTGTCTGAATTCCTGCGGGGCCGTGGGACGCGTAAACATACATGAGATTCGCGCCCCCGACGCAATACGCCCTTGTAAATTACAGTGTATTCGCGCCCCCGAAGCCACGACCCTGCGTAAATTGCAAGACACTCGCGCCCCCGAAGCCACGATCCGTTAAGATATATCCATATTCGCGCCCCCGAGGCCACGATCTCCCTTAAATCACATTGCGTTCGCACCTCTGGGGCCACGATCCCTTGTAAATTACGCCACGCTTGCGCCCCGGAGGCCTTGTAAATTCACCACACTTGCGCCCACGAGGCCACGATCCTTTGTAAATTACTCCACGCTCGCGCCCCCGAGGCAGAGATCCCGCGTAAATTGCGCCACGTTCGCGCCCTCGAGGCCACGATCCCTTCCAAATTATGCCACATTCGCTTTTACCCTACTGATGAACTTGGTACTGCGACGGTCATCCAAGTCAGAACGAGAGGAACACTTCGTTCAGATACTTCGTTCAGATACTTCGTTCAGATACCGCGAAACTACCATATGTTGGATTACGACTGAACGCCTCTAAGTCGGAATCCAACTCCAAGATGGCCCAAGAAGCGCTCCGAGAAGCGCTCCGAAAAGCCCCCAGGAGGCCCTGAGAGGTCCCAAGAAGCGCCCAAGACGCGCCAAAGAGGCCGCAAAGAGGCCCAAAATATGTCCCACAAGGCCCCAAGAGGCCCCCAAGAGGCGCCGAACTCGCCTCCAAGAGGCTCCCGAGAGGCTCCCCACGACACCCCAACACAAACAAGAGGCCTCAGTCCCACAACCCAGACACGGTGGCGGGATGCAACGAAGGCCACTAGGATTTGCTGCCCCCTGTGCTTGCCACAGGGGTGCCGGGCGTGCTGGATCCTTGCGGTATTGGTTCTTTTAGAACTCCTCCTGGAGCTTCGGTCCAGCGCGCCGGCCACTTAGAAAATGCACAAGTGAACGCCTTTCCCGCTCCAAGGTGGCGGTAGATGGCCTGCAAGACGGCTCAGATGGCCCAAGGTGGTTTCCAAGTTCGCCCAATATGATCCAAGACGGCCTCCACAACGGCCCAGGAGGGTCCAAGATGCATCCAAGTCGGATCAAGAAGCCTCCAAGACGGCCCAAGAGGCCCCCCAGAAGCCTCCAAGACAACCCAAGAGGCCTCCCTGAGGTCATCCAGGAAGAACCGGAGAGGCCAAATTCATTGATTTGCCTTATGTGTTTGAAGGCTCTTCGTATTTGTTCCTTTTCGGCCTTCCGACAGCCCAGGACGGCCCAAGAGGCCCCCAAGATCGCCTTCAGAGCGCCCAAGAGGCCTCCAAGAAGGCCCCAGAACTGCCCAAGAGGCCCCCAAGACGGCCCTCGAGGCCTCTAAGACGCGCAAGGAAGCCTCCATGACGGCCATGGAGCACCCAAAGGGGGCCCCAAGTCGGCGGCACAGAGAGGCCCCCAAGACGGCTTCCGACGGCGTCAGAGGGGCCAGGAGCCAACCAAGACGACCCAGATGGCTCTAAGACGGCCCAGGACGGCCCAAGAGGCCTCCAAGAGGGCTTCCAGGAAGACCCGAGGGAGGCCGAAATCATTGAGTTTCCTTAGATGTTTGAAGGATTTTGGCATATGCTTGTATTCGGCCTACCGACGGCCCGAGACGGCCCAAGAGCCCCCAAAAATCGCCCCAAGATCGCCCAAGAGGCCTCCAGGATGGCCCCTGAACAGCCCAAGAGGCCCCCAAGACGGCTCCAAGGGGGCCCCAAGACAGCCCAAGAGGCCTCTAAGACGCTCAAGATGGCCTCTATGACGGCCCTGGTGCACTCCAAGAGGGCCCCAAGTCGGCCCAGAGAGGCCCCCAGACCGGCTTCCGACGGTGTCAGATGGGCGAGGAGCCCACCAAGACGGCCAAAGGGGCCCCCGAGAAGACCCCAAAGGCCCCCAAGAGGCCCAAGGAGACCCCCAAGAGGACTCCAAGAGGCTCCCAGGAAGCTCTCAGGAGACCCTTAGTGTCCCCAGAGGCTCCCAAGATGCCCCCTCCTCCTCCTCCTCCTCCTCCTCCTCCTCCTCCTCCTCCTCCTCCTCCTCCTCCTCCTCAAATTCCTCCCCCTCCTCCTCCACATCCTCCTCCTCCTCCTCCTCCTGATCTTCCCCGCCATCCTCCCCACAAGTGTTCCCCGAAGGGTCTCCACAACAGTTGAGGGAACACATGGTCCGATAGCTTGGCAGAGCTCTTGCCACAACGCTCGGCCACATGGGCGATTCTAGAAGGCAGGGGGCGGCGGTGATTCGCCGTAGGCGTCTTCGATAACGCCAACGTCTCAATGCGCTGATGGTTCCTATCCGCCCCCGCATGATAATCCCAGATGCGCCAAGCCAGCGCCGAGACGCACCGACGCGACTCTGATATGTCTCATATTGTGATGGAGAAGGGGCCGGCGGCAGGGGCGAAGCCCTTACGGATAAGAAGAGAGAGACATGAGACCCAGGGAGAGATCATGGCCCCAGCCATGACGTTCCCCCACCCTCCTGGTCATCACCCCCCCTCTTGGCCACCCTCGAGGGGTGCCGAAGCCGATGGGCCCCCTGTGGTGACACGAGCCAGAGCTCCACCGCTTGTGGCCAGTCCGGGAAGCGCGAGGAGGAAGACGAGGGGTTCTCGCGGAGGGGGGAGGGCGAGACGACGAGGAGGACGCGGAGGGCGTGAGGACCATGGGGAGGGCGGCCGCCCTCAGGAGCTGCCCAAGAGCCCCCCGACGGCCCCACGGCGAGGGCCCCAAGAGGCCTTGGGCGGGATGAGCAGCACGACGAAGATGGCGAGCATCCAGAGACCCAGAAGCGGCACGGGCCTCCAAGCCGGCAAACTCGTCTTTCTATCTTGCTTCTCCTCCTCCGCAGCCCCCGTGCCCCCAGATCCCTCTCCTGACCGGCGCCTTCCAGATGGAGAGGGCAATGTAGAACACCCACAGGCACGCCAGCAGTGCTGTGGACGCTACCTGAAGGGGGCGACTTTCCTTCCCGCCACCACAGTTATTCACCAGCACAGTCACTTCTCGAATAGGGGATCGATTACAGAATTGATTTACCCCAAAACTGTCTTCCCCGCCGACTCTACGAACAAATACGTATAACGTCCCGTAGATCTACGAGCATTCTACGTGTGTGCTGGATACTCGGCGGAAAAATCAATTTAGATGAAATCAAGAGTGTAGTCGATCCCCAATTCCACCTTCGCCCCTTCGGCGGAAGTTGTAGAAGAGGGGGAGGGGACGAGGGGCAGATGGAAGGGAGGATGACAAGCAGAAGGCGGAGGACGAGGAGTAGGCGGGTAAAAGAGGAGGAGGAGGCGGAGTAGGAGTAGGAATAGGAGTAGGAGGTTGATCAGGCTTTCCCGCGATAACTGTTCAGGCGAGGATCTCGCGTCTGACAGCGTACCTGGACGACGAAGCCTTAAATTAGCCTTACGTAGAGCCCAACCATATGCAGTTGTAGGTACCGTCGCTGTATGCACCGCCTTCGGTGGAGCTCCGTATGGAGCCACGAAACAATTGAGTGGTGTGGCAAAATGGTCGCGGAGGGCGCATGCGAGCGCTAACTTGGGCTTTCGGTGGGGCTCATTACGGGGCCACGAAACGTGTACGGGGTGCGCCGAAATTGGGCGACGCCGCCATGCAGACGGCGCCACTGGGACCTCAGGTGGAGTTCCCGATGGGGTCACAAAGCGTGTGAGGGGTGCTCCAAATTGGGGCGGCGCCGCCATGCGGACGGCGCCACTGGGACCTTGGGTTGAGCTCCCTATGGGGTCACGAAACGCGTGTTGTGTGTGAAGTGTGTGCCGAAATGGGGCGCCGCCGCCATGCGGACGGCGCCACTGGGACCTTGGGTTGAGTTCCCTATGGGGCCACGAAACGCGTGTGTATTGTGTGCCGAAATGGGGCGGCGTCGCCATGCGGACGGCGCCACTGGGACCTTAGGTGGAGCTCCCTATGGGGCCACGTGTGAGGGGTGCACCAAAATAGGTCGGCGCCGCCATGCGGACTGCGCCACTGTGACCTTAGGTGGGGGTCCTTGTGGGGGCACGAAGCGCGCGAGGGACGTGCCAAAATGGGGCGGCGCCGCCATGCGGACTGCGCTGCTGGAACGTTGGGTGGAGCTCCGTACGGGGCCACGAAACATGTGAGGGGCGTGCCAAAATGGGGCGCCGCCGCCATGCTGATTGCGCCATTGGGACCTTAGGTGGAGTTCCTGACGGGGCCACGAAACGTGTGCGGGGTGTGGCGAAAACGATGACGATGATGGTGATGATGACGATGATGGTGATGATGACAGCCATACTGATGATGATGGTGGTGGCGATGGTGATGATGACCATGCTGATGACGACGGCCATGATGGCGACGATGAAAATCCGCCGGCCCCCTTGTGAGGCCACCAGGCTGTAGGCCCGTGATTCGCAGTTTCCTGTACCAGTTGTAGTTTGTAGTGTCCAGTGTTACAGTTCTGCTTCTTGCTGGTTACTGTAACTAGTTGATTGACCGCGCGAGGGGAGGGAGGCCCAAACCAGATTTTAAGCACCACCTGGGCGCGTTGTCTGAATTGCTGGGGGGGCTCAAAATCAGCACCCCTCACGCAGATCCGCGGGGTCAGGGTCCAAAAACACATGTGATTTGCCACATTTCTGACATTCGGTGCCACCCCTCACGCAGATCCGCGGGGTCAGGGTCCAAAAACACAGTGGATTTGCCACATTTCTGGAATTCGGTGCCACCCCTCACGCAGATCCGCGGGGTCAGGGTCCAAAAACACAAGGGATTTGCCACATTTCTGAAATTCGGTTCCACCCCTCACGCAGATCCGCGGGGTCAGGGTCCAAAAACACAAGGGATTTGCCACATTTCTGAAATTCGGTGCCACCCCTCACGCAGATCCGCGGGGTCAGGGTCCAAAAACACAGGGATTTGCCACATTTCTGAAATTCGGTGCCACCCCTCACGCAGATCCGCGGGGTCAGGGTCCAAAAACACAGGGATTTGCCACATTTCTGAAATTCGGTGCCACCCCTCACGCAGATCCGCGGGGTCAGGGTCCAAAAACATAAGGGATTTGCCACATTTCTGAAATTCGGTGCCACCCCTCACGCACATCCATCGCAAGGCGTGGTAACCCAAACTGCGAGTACTCCCTCGGCCCTTTAATCCCAAGGTGTGGTAACCAAGCTCGTAAACCATACACGTCTTACCAATCGCACTGTGTGGTAACCCCTCTTGTGATCAGTTGGTTTTGCCGATTGCGAATCGGCCTCCATGAAGTTCCGATACTGCTGCACGACAGCGCCAAAGCCTCATGACTTAGCTCTTCCATGGCCCATTATCCGAGAGAGGGGGCCGGCGACAGGGGGCGAAGCCCTTACGGATAATGATGATAATGATGATACTGATGGTGAAGAAGAAGATGATGGTGATGATGATGATGGTGATGGTGATGTTGATGGTACTGACAATGGTGATGGTGATGATGGTGATGATGATGACGACGATCACGATGACGATGACGATGCTGATAACGATGATGAGAGGAGGGGAGGAAAGAGGGGAGGGGGAGGGGAGGAGGGACGCGCGGCGCTCTCTTCAAAACGAAACCCCACCAGCATAGGACGGCTGGGAAAAATTAGCCTGAGGATCCAACCGTATGCAACTGTGAATACCGCAATTGTGAATATTTTCTTCGGTGGCGCCCCCGATGGGGCCACGAACCGCACGAAGGGCGCGCCGACTTGCGCGGCGGGGTACACAACACGAACGAAGACGATAGGTCGAAGAACGAGAGACTGAGCGCGGGTGAGTCCGAGCGCGAGTGAGTCTGAGAGTGAATGAATCTGCGCGCGAGTGAATATATTTGCATGAACGCGAGCACGGCCACGCCTGGCGTGTGTATGTATAAGTACACATATACGAGTGTAAATGGTGCACGTACGCCTGACCCTGAGTACTCGTGACACTGAGCGTGGCCGCCGCGGGAAGTTGCCTCTGGAACCCCGACTGCCGAGCCCGCACGCCGCGACGCCCATGTCGGCACGCTCCTCACGAGGATCGCGCCCGCTCCCTTCCCGCTCTGTTTTTCCCTCCTTGCCCGTGCACGCCCATGTCCAAAGCTGCGGGCGCGGCGCCGCACAGAGTCCCCGCGACGCGCGTTGGTCGCCCCGGAGGGGTCCCGGCGACGCGCGCGGGTCGTCCGTCGCGCGGAGCAGAGAGAGCTAGCTGGCTGGCTGATAGCGGGCATGGCTGTGGCCCCTGGGCAGAGCGACGACGGGGGCGAGCGAGGCTCTGGGCAGAGAGCAACGCGGAATTCCCGCGACGCGCGCTGGTCGCCCCGAGTGTGTCCAAGCGGGGCCTGCGGGTCGCCCGCGAGGCGAGGCCAAACAGTCAGACCGTCGAGAGACGGCGAGGCTCGGGCGGGCCGCTCCTCAGGTCAAGCCTCGCGGATAAACTCGGTGAAGCTCAGCTCCCTGGCGAGGACCGCCGCCTCGCTCCTGCGCCGTTTCGCGCGCGTGGCAAACTGCTACAGCTGCTTCCGCAAGCCCTCCGGCGGCCCTGCCAGGAAGAACTCTATGCAAACTGCGCCACTGGGACCTTGGGTGGAGCTCCCTGTAGGGCCACGAAACGCGTGAGGGGTGTGCCAAAATGGGGCGGCGGCGCTATGCGAGCTGCGCCACTGGGGCCTTAGGTGGAGCTCCCTATGGGGCCACGAAACGTGTGAGGGGTGTGCCAAAATGGAGCGGCGGCGCCATGCGTGCTGCGCCACTGGGGCCTTAGATGGAGCTCCCTATCGGGCCACGAAACGAATGAGGGGTGTGCCAAAGTGGGGCTGCGGGGCAAGGCGAGCTGCGCCACTGGGACCTTGGGTGGAGCTCCCTGTGCGGCCACGAAACGTGTAAGGGGTGTGTCAAAATGGGGCGGCGGCGCCATGCGAGCTGCGCCACTACGACCTCAGGTGGAGCCCCCTGTGGGGCCACGAAGCGTGTGAGGGGTGTGCCAAAAATGAAGCGGCGGCGCCATACGACCTGCGCCACTGGGACCTTAGGTGGGGCTCCCTATGGGGCCACGAAACGTGTGAGGGGTGTGCCAAAAATGATGCGGCTGCATGCGAGCTGCGCCACTGGGGCCTTAGGTGGAGCCCCCTTGTGGGGCCACGAAACGTGTGAGGGGTGTGCCAAAGTGGGGCGGCGGCGCAAGGCGAGCTGCGCCACTGGGACCTCAGGTGGAGCCCCCTGTGGGGCCACGAAGCGTGTGAGGGGTGTGCCAAAATGGGGTGGCGGCGCAAGGCGAGCTGCGCCACTCGGGCCTTAGGTGGAGCTCCCGATGGGGCCACGGAACGTGTGTGGGGTGTGCCAACATGGGGCGGCGGCGCCATGCGAGCTGCGCCACTAGGGAGGAGGAGGCGGGAGGGAAGGAGGGAGGGAGGGAGGGACGCGGTGTGTTGAAACAGAAACATTATGAAGGCAAGGGCAAGGACTGGGAGAAGGGATGGATACCGCCTCAAGCGTCCCGTAGAAGAAGGAAGAGGAATAAATGGTAGAGATCGAGGAAGAATCAGCAAGCTGCACCCGTGGAATGTCTCGTCCAAGCGCAGGCCAAAGCGACTCGCGCACATGCAGACACGCCAGCATCAGTCACACCATCCAATCAAATTCTCTCCCCTGAGTTCCCCCTGGCCCAAAACTCCCCTTCCCCCCCTCCCCCTCCACCCTCCGCTCCCATTCCCTCCCCTCTCTCCCGCTCCCGCATCCCCACCTGCCCCCCATCCCACCCCCCTCATCTCCCATCCAACCGCTTCCACCATCCACCTGTCACCCTCCTCCTTCCCCCTCCCCCGCCCCTGCCCCTCCCCTTCCCCTTTCCCCCTCCCTCCCAGCACGCCACCCCCCACCGTTTTCCCCTGGCGCCCCGCGAGGGAAGAAGGGAGAGGGCAGAGAGGAAGGGCGGGGATGTTCGGTCGT